AGGTCTGTCTCCCAAGATCTGTGAGAGTAAAGGATCATCTTTCAGGATAGGTTGTAGATCTCTGATGATGGATGAATATGCATCCAGATATCCTCCAGTCACACAAGCTGAAAATTGTTCCACTTTACTGCAGTTCTGTAACCATATGGGAACCAAACCTGTCTGTGTTCTGTACACATCCAAAATTCCTGCTGAATGACCCATCCTGGGAGCGAGTTACCAGTGACCCAGGGCTGGGGCGGCAGGAGGGTGCAGGTTGGGGGGAGAGCCCAGAGCTGGGGCGGCGAGGGGGGTGGGGGGAGGGCGCGTAGGTGGGGGGGGGGCAAAGGGGAAGCCCGAGCGCTGGGGCGGCAGGCAGGGAGTGTGGGTGGGTGGGTGGGTGGGGGGAGAACCCGAGGGCTGGGGGCAGCGAGGGGGAGGAGGTGGGGGGGGGGGGAGAGGGGGAGCCCGAGGGCTCGGGTGGGGGCAGCCGAATTTTTTTTTGCTTGGGGCAGCAAAAACCCTAGAGCTGGCCCTGTACATTAGGGATTTTACTCTGAGACTGGATATTGCTTGACATAAATTTTACCTTTACATTAGATTATTTTTTACATTTATTTAGCCTCCCTTTTTTTGCTTTGATCCAATAATAATCTTTCATTGGTGGTTGAATTATTTTTTCACCAGAGTGGATCGAAAATAACAAAATTTAATTCGTATTTTGTATTTATATTGTGCCTTTTATCTGAAGATCTCAAGCATCTGAGGTTGATTTTGTATACATTTTAAAATTGGTTAACTGAGGCACATAACAGGTAAGTCCTGATCCAGCAAAGCACTTTAGCAGATGCTTAACTTTAAGCACATGGGTAGTCCCATTGCTGGATGAACAGCACAGCACCCCTTGGACCTGTGCGTATGCTTAAAGTTAAGCACATGTTTAAGTGGTTTCCTAGAATGGGGATTTAGTGATTTGCTAATGGTAATAAATGACTCAGTTATAAAGTTGACAACAGAACCCAGATTTTCTGATTCTCAGGGCTCAATTCTACTTTCAGTACAAATAAGGGGAAAGGCATAGAAATCTGTAGTTTTGTGCCAGTAAAAATATAGTTAGAAGTCGGATCAAAATCCGGCCCTGAGTCACTTGTTCAACATTTAGAAAAGAAGGCATATACCATGATTTGTTAATGACCAGAAATATTTAATACTTGCTATTAGGAGTGAAAGAAAAGTACTTCCCATTGTCACATGGTGGCTGTCCTCTTTAAAGAGGACATAGGTCTAGCCCCACCCATGACACAATTAACTCACCTCCCCAGGTGGTAAGAAGCAGTAAGTTCATGTGACTTGTGGGTGAAGTTGCTTAGTTCAGCCTCTTCGGGAAAGATCGGAGGGCCTAGGGAGAGGCAGGCATATTCTCTCTATCTAGAGAGAGAAAATTCTGTCCTGGGGCAAAGAAGAAAGACTCTACAAAGAAGCTCTGGAAGTTGGTGCTCAGCAAAAGCACAGGAAGCACTGATGGGGGGAGACTGAAAAGGGCCTGGGGAGGACTGGAAACTGAGCCAGAAGGCTTTATGAAGGGGCCTGGGTGAAGAGACAATCAGTGAATTGGATCAGAGACAAGGGTGAAGATGGAGAAGGCAAGGCTTTTCAGAGGCCTGTCAGAGCAGGGAAGAGTTACAGAGAGCAGACTCCAGGGGAGAAGGGGGACAAGAGAAGCCCCAAGACTGGGTTGTGTTTTGAGTTTTATATCAATACATTACACCTTGCAAGAAGGGGCATTACTGGACAAAAATCCAATGTGCAGAGTTTATTTAAGGAGCCCTGAAGAACGGAAACTGAAGCAGGGCACTACAGAGCTACCTCAGGCCTCAACGGGGTGCTCATGAGGGGGCTGCCTGAGCATACCCATTGCTTTGACTGTAAATCATAAAAAGCAGTATGCCCTCACTCACTTGCACTGCAGCTGATTTTCAGAGATCAAAATCGTACTCTAATTGCAATGTCCATTCATGCAAATGCTGGTATTTATGCTTCAGTCCTTCTGAGGTAACAAGGAGCGCAGCCTTTATCACACTTATTTTTTTATATATTCCACTCTTAAAGCAAATGAAACACACTACCCTTGCATATTTCTCTATTCTGAAGAATCCAAAGACAAAAAGCTTCTTAGAATAAAAGGTTCAGCTCTCCCTTCACAAAAACATTTTCTGTGATTGGCAAATCAGAAAGTGGTCAATCACAAGACAGCTATAGAGATGTTTTTCATTTCTAGTAACAGCAGGATGCTAACAGGAGAGTTAAGAAGACCAAAAAAAAAAGAGAGAAGAAAATCCATTGATTTGTTGACAGAGGCCTAGCAGCTGTCACAGTAAAACACGGTTCTCTTTCACTTAATCAATGTCAGCCTCCAACCAAATCGTTTTGTAGCCCCGATGAAAAGCAATCAAGAGGAACACCTTCATAAGCATGAAACTTGCTAGATGGAGTTCAATGAAGTGTGTCGCTAAGCTTAGGCACTCCAAGTGTGATGCATGACCCAAAAGCTAATCAGAAACACTTAACCCTTTCAAAGAAGGCAACAATTATTGGCCCCTTTTAAAGGTAGTGATTGCATTCCTATCTTGATCTATAATTTTAAAAAAATATCATGTGTCTACTTTGATGTGTCTCAAAAAGTGAGGAACTACTTTAAATATATTTGATTTTTGTGGGAGCCAGTGCAAAAACAGTGATTAATTTTGTTACCAACCTTTCACGATGTCTTCTGAGAATACTTACAGCACTAAAAGATGCCTTCGTTAGTGTTTCTACCACAGCTCAAAAATTAAATGTGCTGAAGACTAGGACATTCTTCACCACTTTGTTTCTAAATGTAAGTCAAAACACTGACATTATACTCTATTATTTAACAGTTCTCCCATGCAATTAACTTAAATTTTACATCCATGAGCCTTTTATTGGCCAAAGCAGAGGGCAGAGTATGTTGTGGATCTAGGCTGCCAAGTTCATTAAAATGAAACAATAAACCAGATAGAGGGCTTTATTTTACAGTTCATTGGAGGGGATGGGCTACATCAGCAATCTTTATACCATGCCACCAGCAGTGTGCAGTGTCATGCTGTCAGAAGTGGTGGTGGCAGTGGAAGTTCACACAGAGGTATTGTTGACATCGTGGTGACTGATAATATTTTGAATGCTTCGGCAGCTATCTGCTCACTAAATGAAGGAAGAAGGTTGAAAACGAGCCATTTGCTGAATCTTAATTAAAACGAAACAAAGCAGTGGCATATGGTGCAAGGAAATGTATATCCATCAACTAGTGTGCCATTGTGACAGATGTTGCAACCCCATGCAATATCTTTGGGGACCATATTGTATTAAGTGTATAATGGTATATGTAGGACTGTGGACCAGGGATTGTGTTCAATTCTTGAGGGTGGGGAGAGTTGCCACAACTCCACTAGGAATTAAGAATGATGAGGGGTGGTTAAGATGAACCACTCAGTTTGTCAACACTTCCACAAAGGTACCCCTTCTGTGGAGGCTTGGATATACTGGTTCAGATTGGATTTTTCAGAGACCAATTGACGAAGAAAGGACTTTTGGCATAAGAAGGCTGCTTTTAAATAGATCTGGCCTTCTTTCTGATCCAGCAAGTTTGACAGGAGCTTTTGTCCAAAGGCCCCAAACCTTGCAGAAGGGTTGGAAAAACTTTTGCTTAATAGAGCCCCATAAGTCTAAGGGGTGTCCTCTGGTAAGCTTTTAGCATGCGTATAGGGACTGGTTTTGATTTTTTACATGTTTTCTCTGTAATGCTTTTACCTTAAGAATTAATGTGCTTGCTTAGAAGGTGGTGTGTGTGGTAATTTGTAACTGCTGTCAATACCTGTTTCGTAGCTCTTGGAGAGAAAGCAAAGCACAGCTGCTGGCCTTCAGGCAGATTGGCTTGCTGAGGATATCACAGTGAAAGGTAGAGAGTTGTGCAGCCTTAAAAGCCCTGGTCAGAATGGAGTGGGACAAGGGTCCCTGCCCAGAGACAGGTGAAGGCTGCAAACCTGAGTCCTGACTGGGAACTCAGTGGATCACAGCGGCGGGGGGGGGGGGTGGATATACAGGTGCAGTTACCCTAGAACCATGACAGCCATCAACTAATCCAATTAGTGCAGGTAGGAACATGACAACTCTTCATTCATCATTCCTAGCTAGTCCCTGAACTGTGCAGCACTTTGTTGTGAAAATAAACTTCTCTTGAATTCAAGCACAGGCCTAGTGGTTAAAAGCTGCTCTTCAAAATCCAGAAGTGTCACAGAGAGAGAAAGACAGAACGGCTAATTAAGCGGGAATTTCTAGAATACTTTTACTGAATTTGGATGGGAAGGCCCATACTAAGGATTTCTCCCCATGTAAACTCTCAGTCACTCCCACACTTGCTTACATGCTTATGCTCCCCAATCAATCTCACCTTAAACAGTCAATAAACGTGGCCTGAATGTTTGCTGTCGGTTTCTTCTGAATGGTACAAATGATCCTGCTTCTGGTTTTCTATAATTCTGTCCTCTTTCCCCCCCCCCACCCCCCACCCCCCCGCCATTCCTTCCCGCACTGGACAATGCATATGTCTGGCCTAAAATTCTGTTCAACTCTGATGCAGCCAATGGAAATTGACATTTCCCACTTCTCAGGTTAGCCTAATGTTAATTAAAGCATCACACTGCACTATTGCCATCTATTTTCATGAACTTCATGCTATTATAAAATAAAGCTGTTTCCACATATGAATAGATATTTAAAGTCAAATGTCAGACTCCTGAATCTGAATACGAATACTAGGATATGGATATGTTCTTATATACATTGTGGTTCAAGAAAAATAGTAAAGATATATCCATGTATAAAATATATGGTATTCAATGTATGTTTTATAGCTGGGAATATCGTGAAATGAAATCATGATCCATCGGTCTAGACTATGGAGATAGCACTATGTTGCTACTGCATATTGGCCAGACACCATTGTTAAGCTTACTGAGATCTCAGTCAAAAACATCCATTATCACATGAAATTATTCATCCAAATTTTCAAAGCAACAATTAAAATAAAAATGTGCATCTGAAAGGCCTGGGATGAAGTAGCACTGAACACAGAGCCCTTTAAACGCTGAATACTAGTTTGTTGGATGTTGCATAATTTTTCAACCCTGACTAAAGCACTACTAATTTATCCTCAGTAAAAATTACTGAAACCCAGAATATTCGCTAATGAAAGTGGAGATCTGTAAATTACATTTATAGTGTGATGTTCATGCTAACGGTAGTAGTATTCCTGAGAATAAAACACACACAAGTAAAATTTTGTGAATTCTCACTCAAAAGTTCAAGGCTACTTAAATCTCTTTCAATTATCTCTTTCAAAATAGAGTTAGACATTAGTATGGATTTTGTTTTGCTCCATTAAGGTCTTGCCTATATGGAGAGTTAGTGCATGGCAAGCCAGGGTGAATCTACAGTGTGGTATCAGGGTCCACACTGCCCGTTAGTATCCAGTAAGCTAGCACACTGTATGTTCCCACCCTGCCTTGCCACATACTAACTCTCTGTATACATAAGCCCTTAGAGTCCTGCTATTCCTCTTGATTGTCTACTTGCTCCTGAAGTTCAATTGGCTTAATAACTGCTTTGATCAGGGACCATGTGTATTGTTGTAATCATGGCTAGTGCTGTTCTATGTGGTATAGTGCTCCAATCACAGCTCACTCTGTACTGCTGGAACTATGGAATGCAGAGGGATTGCTTCCCCAAGTTACTAGGGCTATTCTTGTCGAAATATAGGATAGCAGCCACATAGGGACTGGTAAGACAAAGTCTGCATCAAGCCCTTTTGGCATGGCTTTTGTCATAGGATCTCAAAGCATGTGACTGTAATGGGTTGTGCTCACCACTGTGGCACCTCCTGCTGGTTGCTCTGGAAATTAACTCTGCCCATCAGGAGGGCGCTCTCCTCTTGTGGTATCTCACTCTCTGTCACTGCTTTTCCACTGTCTCCGCTATCTGTGGGAACCCACATCGCTCCCAGACCACGGCATCCTCTTCAGTGCACGGCCCTCCGGCTGCACCCCAACTCTGTTGTCTCTTCCCTTCGCAGTCCTTCACCTAGCCTTTTGCTGCAGTGGGCAAACTGCAGCTACTTGTCCAGCCCCTTGCTCAGGGGCAAACTGCAGTCCTTTGGCTGGCCACTTCCCTCGGTGGCCAAAGGGGCAAAAGGGGGGCCCAGGCCCACCTGCTACTCTGGGCCCCGACCCAGGGACCCTATAGCTGGCAGCCGCTCACTGCCTCTCCTTCCCCTCTGCCGCTACCTGCTTTCCCTGGGCCACTTCCCTGTAGCCCCAGCATGTACTCTGCCCCTGTATCAAGGCCTCGGTCTGGGAGCCAGCCAGGCTGGAGCTCCGCTTGCTCCCCTGACCCTGCCCAGCACTGCTCTGTCCCAGGTACTTCTCTCTACAGGCAGCCAGTCCTTCTCCCTCAAGCTCAAGGGGAACTATTTATGTCAATGTGACTGCACATGGTGCAAGTCAGTGACAGATTTGTTGCTCAGATTCTGAGAATTCCATATACGGGGTGGAAAAAACCCTGTGAAGTCAAAGGCAGTGAAAGCATAAGTATTGCTGATTTAATTCCAGGTGGAAAACATTTTGTGCAGTTGTCAGAGAGACACTGAAATGGCTTCCAGAATGTGAAGGAAGCATTAAACACTGACTGGAATGCAGCTTCTGTTGAAAGAGAGCCTTTCCTTCAGCAGAAAGCTTCCCTTGTAACAAATCCTCCCTGGTCAATTCAGATGAGTGGTTTGTATTATGGCCAATAGTAATAAATATTACAAAAGGAGAACTCTCCTTGCATTACAATACACAAAACTCCTTTTTACAAAGGAAAACCACGATTTCCCCCTCTTCTCGTTTGACTCAAGAAAGGGCACAAAATGCCTGCTGGTCTCTTCTAACAGGATCTTCTCTGAAGTGGCAGAATTTTGGCAAACCAGTATTGCTGACATGTAGATATTTGATGGGCTGTGTGCTGTGAGTGTTGTAGAATCATAGGACTGGAAGAGACCTCGAGACTTCATCTAGTCCAGTCCCCTGCACTCATGGTAGGGCTAAGTATTATATTATATAAACCATCCATAACAGGTGTTTGTCTAACCTGCTCTGAAAAATCTCCAGTGATGGAGATTCCACAACTTCCCTAGGCAATTTATTCCATTGCTTAACCACCCTGACAGTTAGGAAGTTTTTCCTAATGTCCAACCTTACTGCAATTTAAGCCTATTGCTTCTGTCCTATCCTCAGAGGTTAAGAAAAACAATTTTTCTCCCTCCTCCTTGTAACAAACTTTTATGTACTTGAAAACTACATGTTATCATGTCCCCTCTCAGTTTTCTCTTTTCCAGACTAAACAAACCCAATTTTTTCAATCTTCCCTCATAGGTCATGTTTTCTAGACCTTTAATCATTTTTGTTGCTCTTCTCTGGACTTTCTTGTACTATTATGTTTCTTGGGGAAATTCTCTTGTAGGCAAAACTCAGTTTGACGATTGGCCATTTTTAATGCAATTGCTGGGACTTTGTATGTGCTAGAAGTTTGCTCTGTGAGGTCAAGGTGAGACTTGCCTGTCCAATACTCACCAACATCACAGCCTCTGGTTCTGCTATATACCAGGAGATTCTTTAAAATGCCAGTTGTGCAATGTAAAGGGCCAAGTTGAGAGAGTCCATTATTTAGTGGATATAGCACTGGACTAGGACTCAGGAAACCTGGTTCTATTTCTGGCACTCACTGATCTGCTGTGTGACCTTGGGCAAGTTACTTCAT